AGGATGAACCTGTTTGTTTTCTTAGCAGTCGATGGTACATTCAATACTCTTCTCCAGAACCACAGCTCAAAGGCATAAATTCTCCTTCTATCTTCCCTAGTCATTGTCCAACTCTCTGACGCATAAGAAGTGATTGCAAAGACCATGGCATAATATAATAGAGAAAATATTGAGAATGCCAATGACTTCATCTTACTTGGATCCATTATCAATACACTTTGTATTATTAGCAATTAGGAGATCAAATCTGTACCCAGGGACCTCTCTAAATTATTAAAAAGCAGTTTGAGGCCGAAGGTGTGCCTGATTCAGGCCATGGTCTTTTCAATCTCTCCCTATGCTTCTAAGAGTTGAACAATGACTAAAGATGACAGAAAAATAGTTGATATCTTTGAATTGTGATCTCAGAGGAGTGTTGAAGATCCCATGGACTGCCAAAAGAACAAACAGGTTTGTCTTGGAGAAGGTGCAGCCAGAGTGCTCTTTGGAGTCAAAGAGATGAAGTTTAATCTCACATACTTTGGGTATTTTACTATCGTTGTTGTTGTTGTGTACCATATAGTCAGAGCTGACGCATAGCTAACTCTTTTGCCAATTTTCAGAGGAAGTTAATTGCATGGGAGGAGACTTCTCATCCTTCTCCTACGAAGCAGCTAGTGGCTTTGAACTGTGGCCTTTGGAATTGCAATGCAGCTTTTCCCCTTTAGGCCACCGGAGCTCCCTGGGTATGCTACTAGGAGATGTTATTACTTAGAGAAGAACATCATTCTTGAAAAGGTGGAGGGATGATGATGGAGAGGAATACCTTTAACTAGATTGGTTAACACAATGACTGCAGCAGTGAGCTTAAGTGTGGCAGAGACTGTGAGGATAACATAGGCTAGGATAGGGTTCATATCTGTTGTTCATAGGGCCACAATGAGTTGTACTCAACTCAAGGACACCTAACAACAACAATAATGTTGGTAGAGGGAGTTTTGGTGGCTAAGTTGTAAGGAGTTGTACTGTCAAACCAAAAGAACACAGCTTATATCCATCAGCTGTTCCATGGGTGAATATGGAGTAATTCCTCTGGTGCAGTCTATTGCCTCTGAAAACCCTGGAGGGTCAGCTATAGGTTTGTTCTGACTCAGTGGTACATAGCAACAATGTAATTATAACAAATATCTTGCTTAAAATCCACAGTGGTTCCTTTTTAATTATTAAAAAAATGCATGATGTGTCTGTTGTTGATTCCCTTCGAGTCGAACATGACTCATAGTGACCCTATGAACAAAAGGCCTGAAGCCCCTCTACAACTATCGACATTTATCAAAGTTCATGGAGTTTCCAGAAGCATGTTATTTAGGAAGTGGATGCCATTCCTACTTATTTGAAATAATTTTGTTTCCTAAGTGTGTTAGAAGAAGCTCTGATGTCATATTGCATAATATCTGAGGCTATTTCACCAAAAGAGTGATAGTTTGAATCCAGTCACTCATAGGGAGAAAGAGAATCTCTTTCCATCAAGATTTACAACGTTGGCAACTAAATAATCACTATAGGGTTGAGTCGATATGATGGCAGAGAGTTTTAAATGTATTAACAATAGAAGACGTCTATTTCTTAGTCTACAGAGTCCCTGATGGTACAAAATTAATGCCAAGCTGTTAGCTAAATGATTGGAGAGGTTTGGGTGCACACTACGGGTGCCTCAGAAGAGGCATCAATTTCCTCCCGCTGTGACTTACAACCTCAAGAGCCTGATGGAGGGTCACTTCTGAAAGATTACCCACTGAGAAACCACATGGGCCACTTTAATAAAATCGGTCCTCAGAGACGAAATTGAGGGCTACGACAAGGCCTCCAGCTGCTCCGCAGAAGGATAGGCAATCTCCTCCCGTGCAATTAACTGCCTCTGAAAACCAGCCGGAGGGTCCGCTATGGGTCAGTGACAACTCGATGGTATACAACAGACAACAAAAACTAGGTGCTTGGTGGATAAGGAGCTGCACAGCCAACCGATTAGTTTGTTATTTAAATCCAACAACTGCTCCATGGGAGCAGGATGGGCATCTCCTCCTGTATGATTTACTGTCTCTGAAAATCTGCTAGAGGGTCAGCTATGAGTTGGTTCCAATTCGTCATCACATAGCAACAACAAATGACAGCTATAGCCTATTGCTGCTAAGTTACTCTGACTCCTAACAACTCAGTAGAACAGAGTAGAGTCACTCCATACTTAGACATATTTATATTTATACATACATATTTCCAAGGCCGTACATCTTTATAAATGCTGACTGCAACATTATTGGTGGGTTCAAGCTTCTGGCTTTTCCGTTAGTAGCCTCACACTCAACCACTATGTCATCAGAGCCCCGTAAGTGATTATAAGTAGACCTGTAAAGGTTTTGATACCTGGAAGATTTTTATTGCTGGAATTCTCGGTAGAAATTTATGATGAGGGGAGAGTAATGAATGGTTGTTGTTTACTATATTAACAAAGTTTTGAAATTATGCAATATTCCACTTTGAAATTTGAATTTACTCGTCAACTCTTTTCAGCATCTAATGTTCTCAGAGCCACAATGTCTTATTTCTGACATCTCTATCTTACCAAAGCAGCTCAGACACATTGTTCTTCCTCCTCTGGTAAATCAAATAAAAGCTTTTGATTGCACTCACCCATCACTGTAAAACAATTTTGGTGTATACTCAAGTACACATGTATTTTTTTTGCAGTGTACACATCATAATAAAATTCTCACAGCAGGCAGATAATGCAAAATGACAGAGTAAACAGTTTTATCAAAATCACTAACATGGCAATGTGTCAGCATGTGTTTTAGTCACTACTCATCCCAATGGTAAATGCTAAAATTACTCATAAACCTTTTAAACACTATATCATTGCTTGCAAGTCCTCAGAATAATTTTAACACAGGTTGAAAAGCAGTATTTTATCCCTAAACAACTCAAGCCTGGAATCCATCAGTGTTCTGGATGGATCTGTTACTGTTTGGTGTTGCTACTGATGGAAGACGGCTTCCTTCCCTCACTATTGACAATAACTCTCAGCCATGACCTGAAAGAGGATGATTATTACATGAGGCTTGCTGTTGTTGTTGTTGATTGCCTTCAAGTTGAGCACGACTCATAGTGACCCTATGAACAAAGAAGGCCAGAAGCCCCTCTTCAACTATCGACATTTATCAAAGTTCATAGAGTTTCTGGAAGCATGTTATTCAGCAAGTGGATGCCACTCTTGCTTCCAAGTTACATGTGGCTTAATGGTAAGGAATTGCACTGCTAACCCAAAGACACGAGGTTCAAATCAACCAGCTCCTCCATGGTAGAAATATGGGCAATCTCCTCTCAAACGATTTACTGTCTCTGAAAATCCACTGGAGGATCAGCTACAAGGCAGTTCTAACTCAACAAAAACAACACCAACCAGTTCTTGGGGACAAACATTTCCCTCATGTCCCAATAGAGACCTTTTTCTTCTTTTCTAAGCATTAACAATTTTGTAAAAATTAATAATTGGTAAAGTTGGTAACACAGACAAGCTGTGTCTACTAATACTCTACTATGAGCTGAAAGGTTGGCAGTTCAGACACAGCCAGGGGCACATCAGAAACCAGGCTTGGGAGTCTACTTCTGAAGGGTCATAGCCTTAAAAACCCTATGGAACAGTCCTTCTCTATGTACACGGGGTCAACATGAGTCAGAATTGACTCAACAACAACTAACAACACTCTCATCCACCATGGAGTTGTTCCTAAAACAGATCTGCTTATACCAATTGTTCCTTCATAAAATGAAACAATAATCCAAATCTGCTCTTAAAGATGTGATTCTAACTCACAGTAATCCTATAAAAACAGGGTAAAACTGCCTCATAGAATTTCCAAGACTGTAATCCCCATGAAAGCACATTGCCTCTTCTTTCTCCTGCTGAGCTAGTGATTTCAAACTATAAATCTTTGTCACCCATCAAATATTTAGCCACTATGCCACCAAAGCTCCTTCCAATAGTGTCTCTTTAATCTCTTCTCCTTGGTTCTTGGCAACTGAGGACATATTTGCCCTTTTAAAATTCCCCACCCATCTGTCTAGAGACTCTTATGAACTATTCCTTCATGCTTCCTTTCATCTTTGACTCCTCAATTACTATCTTCCTAGGAAATTTCCTTTAAGACTTTAAAATAAAAGACTGTATTTGTTAGCAAGGAAAGGACCCTCCCAAGAATCATCACTCTCACAGGAATTGTATTTCTTACCTCCCTCCGAAGAATGCAGTGCACCATAACGATTACAAAACCTTGCAGTGAATCAAACACAGCAAACAGTATTTGAAATAATATGGACCGTTTATCTGTCATGGCCAGAACCGCAGACATCCATGTCAGGGCCAGAAGGGGCAACACCACACAAGAGCTCCAGAGAGATGCCCTGTAGAGAGACAGAAAACATTGCGTATCTGCACACCACGTCCCAGTTAATCACCAAAACCCCAGTCAGTCAACAAAGCATTTTTAATGTGGACCAAGACCATTAACTTGGAAACCACAGATAACATTTGAGAGTTTTCTTTTTTGAAATAGACTATACCAAAATAATTACATAGTTGCTAATAAGAAATACTTTAGTATGCTCTCAGTGGCTAGTATTAGCAAACACATTATCATATTTTTTAATCATAGTATTTTCTCACATGCACTGTAAAAGATTTGTAACAAGAAGATGTAAATGATTGGGACTAACATGGCGTTACTGGCGGTGGTGGCTGACAAAGCTGTTGTTGAAACTACTCCACACTTGGCACATTTGAGCGTCAAACCGCTATGAGGTTCACTCATCTGACTGCAAACAAACAGAACACCCACAAAAAGAACAAAATATTGAATTGTCACCAAAAAAAGTTGCTGCTGCAAGTTAGCTTTTAAATACGATTTCATGCAGAAAAATAAGTAGAAAGACAATATACACTGCATTTTATTTCTGTGGCATTTACCTTTTGATAATACAGGCCTTCCTTGAATGTAAAAGATATTTCCATCGTTTACACCATAGACGGCCCTTTGTCTGTAGATGGTCATTGCTAAATTTGCTGAGTTAAACATAAGCACGTGCTTGTGTAGACATATAGTGAAAACCCTTTATTCAGACCTGTGATAACCCAACACCTGTATTCAAGGTTTTTCAGTAACATATTCTTTAAATCTTCTGAAATATGACTTATATTTCAGAATCACATCTCAAAAAGATATATGTAGCTTCTGTCTCAACAAAAGACCCATCTTAAATCTTGAAATTTCTTATAGCATCAAGGTATTATCCATGTTTTAGGATGATCTGAATATAAGGGTAGATGAAATCTGATGACTTATTAGTTAATAATAAAAGTTTCTGCTTCAATAAACACATTAAACAGAATTGCCACAATCAAAATACTCTTTCTGAAAATTTTGTGATAAACTCAAATCTCATAGAATTTACATGTTGTACTCTGATTCATAGGCTTTTGCAGGTAACCTCATTTGAAATAGTTCAAATTCAAACTACTACATTTTATAAGTCAAGTCACACTATACAGAAAATCCTTATACATTCTACTTAAAGAATTCATCAAAAGTACTATTTTATAGAAACACAATACTCTTAGGAGAATAAAAAACACATAAGAAATTATTTAATCAAAATTCAAAACACCTTAAAATAATGTCCCATAGTGTGCTTGTCTCATCGGTTAGTACATGGTAAATCTGACCATATTAGTTTTATAAAGTATTAGAATGATGCTTTATATGTAAAATAAAAATGGTAAAAGAAAGGGAATTGTCAGATGTTTTTATTATTTATAATGTTTGTTTTTTTCTGAAATGTACTCATTTATGAAAGATGCTTGGATAGGATATTAAATCTTAGGAGCTATTAATAAATAGATTATTAAGTAAAAGCCCATGAGAAAAATCCACACTTTCAGAGTCAAGTGTAGGGGTGAGGAACATGGCCTCAATATTCCAACCTAGGGCATATATATCACCCATGAGTATCCAAACTTTCAGAATAGTTTATCCAGATTAGTTCATGAATATCTCAGCGGACGTAATAATATATTTGAAACATCTGCATTTTTCAACACAGGGTCGAACACCATGATATTTTTAGTTTCTTCAATGTTACTAAATTTTATGTAATCCTAGAGGCACACAATTTAAATCCACCTGCTATTCCTTGGGAGAAGGATGGGCAATTTCCTCCCATGAGAGTTATTGCCTCTGAAAACTCTCTGGCGCTATGGGTCAGTTCTGATTTGACAGTATACAAGAACACCACCACCATAATCACAATAACAATAATCATATTAAAAAATGCCAATTATTCTCATAGCATTGTTATGAGTTGCAATCAACTCAGTGGCAATGGATTTGTTTTAGCCCATGTATTGTTCTCTTTCTGTCAGAAAATAGGCTCTTTCGGGTTTATACTTCAAATACAGATTTGGCTATATTTCTCCATTTTAAAAGGATTTGGCTCTCAGCTTTGAAACAAAATTAGAAAGTCAATAGTCAAGGACAACTAGAAAATCATTTTAATTGCATAATGAATTTAAAGTTTAATTGTAAGTACTTTTGAGTCTGAAGATGGATTTAATGCAAGTACAGGTTTTCCTGAAAATATATCTTAAATCAATATTTTATTTTTTTAGCAACAATAAGCTCTGAAACCTTTATTAACATCCATGTTCTCAAATACAAATTAACATATTTTTTCTAGTTTTGTATGTAAAAATGCATATTTAGAGAATAAAGTCTTGAGGCTTCATTATTATATAATTTTTTGATATGATTTTCTGTAGTTTTTAAATCAATCTTTTTAATGCTAATGTCTCTTTATTTGAGATGAGAGGTTAGAGATAATTTATTGAAAGCTGCCTAGTGGCAAGGAGTTGCATTACAATCCTGAAGGTACATGGTTCAAGACCACCAGCTGCTCCAAGGGAGCAGGATGGGCAATTCCCTTCTGTGTGATGAACTGCCTTTGAAAGCCCACTGGCGGGTCAGCAATGGATCAGTTCTGACCATATGGTACTCAATAATATTAACACGCTGTTATCAGCATCGGTCACCAAGATAGATCGAATATATTTTTTTTCTAGTTTCTATGATCACCCTATTAAATTTAACACAATATAAAGAACACTTATTGGAGATTGTGCACTATGTTGAGTGAATCAAATAAAAACTAAAATATTACCTCTTTTATAAAGAGGAAGTTCTACAAGTCTAAAATAAAAAGTGCTAATAGTTAAAAAGGAAGGCCAGGTGTCTAGTGGATAAGGAGCTGAGCTGCCATCCCGAAGGCAGGCAATTCAAATCCACCAGCTGCTCTGCAGGAGAAAGACAGGCAATTTCCTCCCTGGTGAATTACAGCCTCTGGAGGGAGGGTCACTTATGAGTTGGTTATCTTAAATAGTTTTTGGGGTTTTTTTTCTGTTGTTTTTTTTTTTAAAGACTATATTAAATTGTCCACAAGTTAATGTGTACACAACATCAACCAGAGCACCAGGTAATAACAACGTTCATTGTTCTGAAGGTTGTAGGTTTCCCCCTAGTTTTATTTTCTTTGAACAATAAAAATCTCAAAAGAAATCAGCGATGCTAATCGGTAAGTATGATTAAGGACTCTAAATACTGTATAATGCTGGTAGGTTTGGTCTGTCTTAATATAAAAACTTACCCAGAAAGTTTTTTCCCACTGGAAAAAAAAATCTGACATTTTTAAAGACTCTAGTATTTTAGTTTTCTCATTTCATATAGATAAGATAAAGCCACTTAAAACAGTTCTCTCTCTCGTCCCCACTCACTCCCCCCACATGCCTTTTTTGTCTCTCCATCTCTTTCTCATCACCTCCATGTCAGACTCATGAGTCCATTGGGCTTCTAAGACTATAAAGCATTTGTGAGGAAATTTGGTGGTGTACCATAGAGCTGAAGTAACTCATAGCTGACCCTTAAGCAGGTTTTCAGAGGCATTAAATCCCATGAAAGGAGATTGCTTAGCTTTCTCCCATAGAGCAACAGGTGATTCAAACCTTGTGCCTTTGGGATGGTAGCTCAGATTCTTACCACTGGGCTACAAGAACTGCAGATAAGAAAATGTCTCTGCTGAAATATTCTAGTTAAGATTTTCTAAAAAAGACACCACCATTTTAGTTTTATAATAATCATTTCTCTAAAAGTATTTATAGAAAATAATAAATTTCTCCCAGGAAATATGTTTACATGTCAAAAAATTCAATATTGTTTGGCAGTTAAGTACTTGTTAGTGCGTTGTTTATGAAATATTCTTTCATTTTCTCATTCCTTTGTAAATGTTTATTGAGCACAAAATATATGTCTTACAGTTTCTAATAAAAAGTTATTAAAGGAAGAAAGGGAGCCAAATAATGGAGTAATGGAGCGAGAAACTTCTTTGCTTGTTGCTTGATTAAACAAGAAACATAATATCGAAAGAAATGTTTATGTGTGTGGGTGTTTATAAATATAATATACATATTTTTAAAGGGAGTTATGATCTTTGGGGCCGGGCTTTTGAATCTACCAGCTGCTTTAAAGGAAAAAGTAAAATTTCCTTCTATGTGCAATTTCCAATCTCTGAGAAGCTTGCTGGAAGTCAGCCATGAGTATGCTCTGACTTAATGGTGCTGAGTTTGTTTTGAGATATTAAAGAAAAAAATCCCTGCTATGGTTAATCTCTATAATTGGGGAGGCTGTTAAATCAATCATATATTCTCTTTCTATTTTCTTTATTACTATCCTCACTGTTTCTCAGTACATTAAAATTATCTCCAAATATTAATTGTTTCTAAAAAAATCCTTTAATAGCTCTTAGGAGCAAAGAGAATATTTTAATCTATTTATACTTACTAATTAAAATATTTAAAAGTAAAAAGCTGTTGTGGTGGTGGTTACATGCCACTGAATCAAGTAAAAATCCTAGCAGCCCTACGAACACAGGCCTCATCATCTTTGACACCCTTAAGCCTGTTGCTGTAGTCATTATATCAATCCACCTTGTGGAGGGTCTTCCTCTGTTTTGTTGATCCTCCAGTTTTCCAAGTATGATGTTATTTTCCAAGGAATAGCCTCTCCTAGCAACATACCCAAAGTCTGTGAGATTGAGCTTTGCCATCCTTGCCCCCAAGGAGTACTTGGGTTGTACCTTCTCCAAGACTTATCTCTCTGTTCTTTTGACAGTCCATGGGATATTCAGTGCTCTTCTCCAATACTATAACTCAAAGGCATAAATTCTTCTTTTATCATCCTTAGAAATTGTCCAGTTTTCAGATGTGTAGCCAGTGATGGAAAAGTGATGGCCTGAATTTGGTGCACCTGACACCACTGCTATTCATTATTTTGCAGAGCAGAAATGTCCAATGAAATATGTCTCCTGATCTGACTGCTGACCTCAAGGGTGTTGTTGATTGTTGATCCAGTAATATGAAATAATCGACAACTTCGATTCTTTCTCCATCTATTATGATGTTGCCTACTAGACCAGTGGTAAATACCATTGACTTTCTTGAGGTTGAGATGTAATAAACACTGAATGATCATGTTGCAAAGCAACACATGCTTCAAACGCTCCTCACTTGCAGCAAGGAAAGTTGTGTCATCTGTGTAACACAGGTTGTTGATGAATCTTCCTCCAATCCTGATGCCATATGCCTCTCAGAGTCCAGCTTCACCAATTATGTGCTCATCAAATAGATTCAATAAGCATGGAGAAAGTATATATTCCTGCTACACACCCTTGCTGATTTTAAACCATCCAGTGTTCCCCTGCTGTATTTAGACACAGCTATTTGATCTAGGTATATATTTTATTGGAGAACAATTAAGTGTTCTGGGATTCTCATAGTTCTCCATGTTAGCCATTGTTTGTTGTGATCCACACAGTCAAATGTCTTCATACAAAAGTAGCTATATTAATTCGTGAGTAGATATTTTCAATTTTAAACAGGAGCCAGGATCCTTCTCTTATACATTTAGTAACAACAGTTCTGTTTCTCTAGCTATAGCCTTTAAATAAAAAAAACCACAGACTTTAAACAAAAAAAAACCAGTTTGACTCAGTTTTGTCACTATAATGTATGCAACTTCTAAGAATAATACTTTTATATCTTGTTGTTTTAAGATAGTTACTGTGTCTTTTTAAATGTCCTTGATTGCCATCAAGTTGAGCACGACTCATAGTGACCTTATGAACAAAAGGCCTGAAGCTTTTCTGTAACAATCATAGTTTATCAAAGTTCATAGAGTTTCAAATAATTTCTAAGGTCGTATACAATGGGACTGTTATTTCTCCTATCTTATAAAGATATGCATAAAGCATATCTAGGCATTGCTTATAAAATAGTTACATAAGAAAAAAATACTGATTGCATATTTAATATACCTTCAGCATTATACCCATCCTGATGATCTCATTTCCTTTCTGACCTAAGTGTCACAGTTAGTAGACTCTCGGGCCCTTGATTGATAGAGGAGGCACGGATCTTTAAAAATAACTTGTCTGCAGTGGCTTCCTCATTTCACTCGTCAGAGGAATAGTTGTCATATGTTAGTGAGTGCTTGCTATTTTCCAGATTCTCTGGTGAATTCTTTATCTATATCATATTTCATATACTCTGTTAGGTAAGAGCCTTTATTCTGTTTTACAAGTGAGAAGATTGAGTCAAGAAGATTAAATAACATACCCAAAGACACACTCTACTAAATTTCAGAATTGGATATTGAGCATAGCCTTGTTTGACTTTTTATTCTAACCACTAAAACCTCAAGACATGTATGTATATATTCATAGACACACATTTATGTCCCTAGTAGCAGAGCTGTGATTTTATATCAGTACTTTATAGTTTATTCTTACATAATTAATCTAGAAAGAAGTAATTTAAAAAGCATGGATCACAGTTGGGAGATTGAGTGGTAAACTAGTACAGAAAATTAAGACACTCAAAACAGCTCGTCAGAAGAGACTCACAGTAGACCCTCCGGCAGGTTTTCTAAGGCTAGAAATTGTACAGGAGGAGATGGCCCATCTTTCTCCCACAGAGAAATAAATGGTGGTGGATCAGAACTGTCAGAGAGGTGCCACCTTTGGGTATGCAGCTGAACTCTTTATGCACTATGTTACCAGAGCGTCCTTAAGGACTTCAGGAAGACAAAAGTCAATGTTTTAAAAATGGAAAATACCTAGACTATTTTATCACAGTGTTGTTATTATTGTCAGGTCAGAATTGACTCATCAGTGACCCTCCAGAGGCAGTAAATCATATGGAAGGACACGGTCCGTCTTTCTCTCATCGGGCAGATGGTGTGTTCAAATCGCATGCCTGTGAGTTGGCAGGGCAATGCCTCACCAATAAGAGCTTCCCATTTTATAATCTAAATTGTTAAGCAGAATTATAAGAACATGCTGAACATTTTTAATTCTCACCAATAGGTAATCAAAGACTGATTATTAAGTAATACTATAGTATTTAAAGGAAAGAGAACAATTTTAGGGTAAGTTTTGGATAATGTAAAATTTAGCAGAAAGGAGAAAGCTCCAACATTTTCTTAGGAGAAGATATAAAGGGAAAACAAAAAGCATTGATATTGCATGCAAAATTTCCTCCAATTGGATTTCCAAGGCATTAAATTGCAATTACAATTTAATTACCTTAAACGTAATGGGAGATGAGTGTCTATCCTTCTACCTCAGAGCTGCTGGTGGATTTGAACAGCCAGAGATTTGCAGCCTTTGTCACTGCAACTCCCTGCAAACGGACTCTGTCTGCCACAGGGTTCCTTACTTCAGTTAGTTTACTAGATATTTAAATAAGCTGATGAGGTACATAAAAAATCCTATCAGTCTGAGTATGAATTGTCTTCACTGTAACAGGCATGATGGCATTACAATAACAGTAAAATCAAGAGAAAGGCTTTCCTAAATTTTGTAACTGGGGAAAATGTGCAAGTGAAAATTACACACAATGCTTTCTAGCAAGTTATTGAGAAAATGCCATCATGATTCATTCTATGTCACTGTCATTCACTGTGACAAGCATAGTATTTGATAAGTGAGAAATCTAGGTGTAGAATTTTGCCGATATATCCAATTAATAAAAGAAAAAAAAAAACAACCCAGTATTTAAGTTCTGTATAGGTTTACCCGTCCCTGTTAGTATTGTCAAATACAATTGTGTTCATTCTACCCTGCTGTCCTTCTGATCAAAACTATAACATCACTGGGTACTGAAGGACAGCTATTTTAAGGCTAGTCTTTACATTTATTCTTATCATGAAAGAAGCCAATTTGTACAGATCAACCCAGATTTTATTAATGATCTGTTTTGCTCTTTTAAATTGTGTGTGTGTGTGTGTGTGTGTGTGTGTGTGTGTTTGTTATTGTTTTTCGTTTTTGTTTTGGGGGCTTTTGTTTGTTTGTTTTGTCACATTGCTTCAGAATAGTGCAAAGGAAATCTTTGGATAACTAAATCTACCAGAGAAACTGGTATATCTAGAACAAAATGTAATGCACAGTCGAATACAACCAATGAAGATCTGGAATTGGTATATGGGATTGACTGATAAAGAATCTTCAAAATCCACCAATTGCAGCTTACCCGGCTCTGTGTTTGAGCTTTTTATCTAGGATCCCATCTCTGGAAACAAGTTTATTAAAAACCAAAATGCCAATCACCATGTTGACCTGTCAAACAGAAACAAAGGTTGACCTTTCAATGATACTGAAGGGAATTAGGTCCCTATTTTAAACCATTGTGGATTTTGGGGTTTTTTTTAAACCACCATGAATTCACATACTCATAACTGTAGCCACATGAAAACCTTTGGAAATACTTTGCAAATGCATAAAGGAATAAGGAACAATCTAACAGTGGTATACTACTCTCAAATTTTAAGAACATTCATTTCCAGGGTTTGCATTTAATGAAGGGGAAATTAACCTTTATTTGTCTAGCTCTTAAGTGACACTATGCCACTTTGACATTCTTCTTTCTCTCTAGTCACCCCTGAATAAAATCATTTGGCTAAATTAGTTTTATCCTATGTGTGATTATCAAAAGATTCTTTATTTTTGAGAGTAGAGTTAACTCTGGAAGCCAATGGTGTTAATAATGTGTCCTTGTGCCCAACAGAGAGGAATACAATGCCTAAATTCCTAAGTATTCCTATAAATGCCTAAATTCCATGCATTGTGGCTATTTGCTATCTCTCATTCGTGTGTGTGTGTGTGTGTGTGTGTGTGTGTGTTGAGGAGGGAGCATTTTAATGAAGCACACTATTTTTTTTTAGATAGAAGGAAAAACCTATTCAGATCACTTGATTTCTGTACAAAATGTACATGAACATCTTTTTAACAATGTGTTCTTCTGACTACTTCTCGTCTCATCACTTTCTAAGATTCGCACTCCTACTTAAAAGGGTTTATTTTGCATAATACAGCTGAACTTAAATCACATATATTTTTTTCTTTCTCAGATGGAATCATGAAAATTCTGTAGAGATAGCTGTGACCTATATCTATTTGCAGCATCTTAATATGGTGTAGATCTATAGTCTCCTAGCCTTCCCCGTACTACATGACAAAGGAATCCAGTCTAATGTTGAAACCAAGGTATTCTCTGGAAAATGTCCCCTTCTTTTGTCTTTCTTGCCATTTTCCCTTTGAGATTGGTGGGCAATACGATCTTGGTGCTTCCAAATGCAAACAGAGAAGCCTTTGTCTTATGAATATAACTTCACACAAATCTCTTTTAAATTAAGCAAGGAGACTACTTAGGAAAAGGGGCAATTCGGCCACCAATGCACTCTGGCCAGATGAAAAAAACATAGGTGAAAATTGTTTCACTGTTAATAGAAGGGCAAGCCAAAATATCCATTAGGTAGGATTTAGCCAGTGCCAGTTTTCAAAGTTTGCTTCCTGAAGAATATAGTTAATCAAGAGAAAACGGTATTTGTTTTTGAACTAAGAGAAATTGTGTATACCATAGATTCTGTTAATCTACAAACTTGAACATGAGGGGATATATCACTCCTCCAAAGACCTTACTTTTTTTATTCAATTATATACATATTCTTTGTCTTCTTCTCTTGATTTTAGAGTTAGATGTACAGCAGCCTAGTGGCTTTAGGACCAGATTTAATTTATTAACTAAAAATTCAGTGCTGCAGATGTTTAACAGAACTTATTTTTTTTCAGTATTTTTTTCTAAAACTCTTGCTTAGATGGTTTCTGGTTTTTGCTTTTAATTGTGAACCACATATGGTTTTCTCTGCTTCTTAATGTTCAGAGCAGGGAGAACAAACTTGAAAGAAAAAATTCTACCTATCAGAGTTTTAAGAAGATGTCTCTAGCTTCTAATTTATTTAATGAATCATTTAAGGAGCCAAAGGACAATTCTCCAATTAGAAATCTAATTGCATGGCCTCTTTGATCCTTGTATTTAATGCAGATAATTTTGTTCCTCCCTTATTCAAAGATTTATTGGACAGGTAAAATCTGCAAAATTCAGAGGCAAAAGCCTTTTTTGGTAAGATATTTTAAATGTTACTATAATTTAAAATGTTAAGGGATTTGTATTATGATTGAAAAGGAGAAAAGTAAATCTTTTAGTGTAAAATCTGGCAGTGAATCTTCCTAGGGGATCATGGGGACTGCCAGTGGACATTGGGCAATGGTTAGGGATACTTTGTATTGTTACAACTAGACAGTGTGACTAGCAAATAGAGGTGGCAGCCAGGATGCTGCTAAGCATCTTACACTGCTCAAGAAAGCCCCCCCAATGCCAGCAGTGCTAAGGTTGAGAAACTGACATTTAATTATTTACTTGCTTTTTTATAAGTATCTGATACTGGAAGTCGTGAAGAAATCTCTCGTGAAGTCACAATGGCACAGACTATATAGATGAGCATTTTTTATAATAATACACTTCACAGGGGAAGGATTTTTTTCAAGTTTACTCAAACTTGAATAACCCCTTGAAACTTCTTTTTCATAAATTGGAAATTACGGAATAAGAAATCCCACACTCCCAAGATTAATATTCTTCAGTATTCAAAGAAAGAATATATTAGAGTAACCAAGGACTGGATAACAATTGAAATTCAAATCAAAGTTATAGGTCATTGAATGTTAAAATTTCTGCACAACAAATACAACACTTCTGAAACTGTTGTTCTAGTTGAAATAAAGATATGCCTCTCTTCACTAAGAAAACAAAGTAAGTTGATTTTTATGTTTACCAGGACAACAGCGGCTGCAGGTCCGACAAAAGCATAGAGAAGTCCGCCTTCAAGAGAGAGCCAGCAGCTGAAATAACATTAGATCAAAACTAACAAAAATTAGTGATAATTATCAAACCACTGAAATGGGTTACAAATAACTTATATATTTAGCTTTGGAATTTTGGTCTATTTACAGGATTTGAAACTAAAACCAAATAAACAAAAAAGTACAAGTGGAAAAGGCTAGAATGAGAAACACTTCATCAGTGAGCAATGCCTAGTTCTCACTAAAAAGAAATTTTTTTTAAAGCTCTTTTAAGCAGTTAACACATTTTAGACAAATTATGCTTGAAGTCAGAATCTGTATTTACCTTTCGGTCCAAAGGTGACTATTTGTTAAGTTTTATAAAATGCTGTTTTATAACCACTGTGGAAGTTTTCAAATATGCTTTTAAGCAAGAACAGCATGTTTCCAAAGTCTTGGATGGGCTATTTACCTGTCCTTCCTTTAGCCAACTGAGTTATTGGGAGAAATTGGTTTAAAAACCATTATAGGAAGGAATGGAGAATTTTCAATTTGCATGCTCATTTTCCTCTAATTTTATATTTTCTCCAGACTACTGGGGAGTTCTGGTGGCCTAGTGGCAAGAAGCTGCGCTGAAAATGAACTAATGATGAAGTTTGAAGAAAAGTAAGCGCAGCAGTAAGTGTTTGTACCAATTACTAAAGCCACCTAGAGGGGTGCTAACCCATTGGAATGAAAGCATTCACTCAGTCACAGCACAGAGGAGGGAAGAAGGCACAGGGTTTGGTAAATGTGGGCACTACAAGGTGGCATATCTGTGCATGCACCACCTAGGAAGTCAATACGACGAAATGGTAAGGGACCATTTAATTACTTCTGAGCGCAAGCTTCTCACCCATCATTTCATGCACCTATATTTTGGCATTTAATCCTTTCAAATATTTCTGTTCCTAAAATTTGTGTTCCACTCTTAGAAGAACAAAAAACACATCACTCTTCCAGGTCTGTTCAATATGGGGTTGAATAACTGTATAATTTATCAGCACTGAAAGAATTATACACTGCATAGAGTAAATGTTATTCTACATAAATGACATTTAAAAATTTCACCTAGTACCTCTATGTACACATGCACACACAAACATGTAACTATATACACAAATGGGAGTGTATGTGTAGACAGAATTTAATTATTTCTCTTTGTCAAAATAGTGGATAGATAAAACATTACTATTGATACCGCTTTCTGAAATACGCAATACTTGTTTTCTATAAAATAACTGGAAAGAACTCCCTTTGTCTGATAGACCACTTTAGTTTGGTGTCTCTGGGATTGCCACTAAGTTTCTACTATATTATGTCTGTGTTAATCTTCAAATTTATGTGTATTACTCTTTGTATGTAGCACAGAGGGAAGGCAGTGGAGCAGATTCTTATGGGCATCAAGGATGGCAGTCCCATCACAGGCCTGTGCTGGCTCGTGCCAATCTCCAGCACCAAAGACTTAGCTGAGTTACTGTGTGGACCAAATACCCACATCGAGGATAGCTTCCTGCTGTGCTACTATGGGCCTCATTTGGGACCAGAAAGGAGTGTCTTGCACCATGATGTCTGTACATCTGATTGTTTTTATGGTATACTGTTAAGAGGTACAACACTTATCAGTTAATTATATTAGGAATGGATTTGCATGCTGCATGTGGCTCAAATTCATCAGGTACTCCACAGGAGGATGGGCAATCTCTTGCCATGTGATTTATTGCCTATAAAAACCTGCTGGAAGATCAGCTATGGTGACACAATGACACACAGTAACAACAATTACATTGTAACTAGGTGTGTATATGCTTGCTAGTTTATTGTTTGCTCTTATTAGTATAGCACTTGTCTGTCAATCTGCTGTGCTGGTACAGCTTATGGTTTGCTATGATGCTGGAAGCTGTGCCACTGGTGTGTCAAATACCAGAAGGATCACTTTTAGTGGACAAGTTGCAACAGAGCTTATAGATTAAGACAGACTAGGAAGCAGGAATAGTTGTCCACTTACCAAACAACAGACCTTTGAATACCCTAGGAACAACAGAGAAGCATGGGTAAAAACAACTTTAGAGATAAAACTCAGATGGGAAGTCACTGAAATATGAGGGGAAACATCTGTAAACATCAGTAATAACTGGGACATGGAATGTAAAAGTATGAATGTAGGAAATTTGGAAGATGTTGAAAATGAAATGTAATGTATGAAGATAACATTCTAGGCATTAGTGAACTGAGATGACCTGGCATGGGCCACTTTGTTGCTGTTTGCTTGGGGTTTTGTTTTGTTTTATATTTTAGGAAAGTCAAAGGTTATAATTCAGTTTGGTAGCAGATACAATCAGTCAGGATAGATTCAAAAGCATGCTCACAGGCACCTTGGGCTTCAGCCTTGTGGTTCTGTCAATTATAGTTCCCCCTCCCACTCAGTTCTCAAATAAACTTTAACAAAGGCTTTTAGCTCAGATACTGTGGGATGTAAGTCCCAAGGTCAGCCCCATCTCATGCCAGGTCTCTTGCTCTCTGCTTTGGCTGCTGCTACTCTCTTGTAGTTCTGGCTGTACGAGAATCTCTGGCCCTGATGGGCATGTAGCATCCTCTTCATTCTTCATTGCAATTTACGTGGCTACTTTGAATCAGACAATTATATGATCTACTATGCCAGGAATTAATATCTAAGAAAAAAATGTTGTTTCATTTAAAATCAAAAGGACGGTTCTAAGGACTATCCAAAAGTGTAATTTTGTGAGAGACAGAATACTATTCATATGCATATAAGGAATATTGGTTAACAAAACTATTATTCAAATATATGCACCATCAATTAGAGCCAAAGAGGCATAAATTGAGGATTTTTACTAAATTTTGCAGTTGAAATTGACCAAATAGGCAATCAAGATGTGCTAATGGTAACTGGTGACTGGAATGCAAAAATTGGAAACAAGGAGGAAGGAATGGTAGATGGAAAGTACAGACTTGTGACAGAAATAAGCCGGAAGAGCAAATTATTGAATTTTGCACATTATTTACTCAAATACTTTTTTTAAACAAACACAAAAGATGACTTTATGCATTGACCTCACCTGACAGACCGCACAGGAATCAGACTGACTACATCTGTAGAAGGAATCATTAGAGAAGTTCAACATCAGCAGTCAAAACCAGACCAGGTGCTGACCGTGGAACAGATCATTAATTAATTAATTGATAATTAATCTAAGCTCATATTGAGGCTGAAGAAGATTAAAACAAACTCACAGAAACCAAAATATGACCTTGAGTCTATCACAGTTGAATTTAAGACTCATCTCAAAAAAAAAAAGACTCATCTCAAGAACAGATTTGAGGCATTGAACACCAAGGTCAAAGACCAGAAGAACATCAAAGATATCATCCATAAAGGGAGTAAAAGATCATTATAAAGAGAGATGAGAAAGAAAACCCCAATAGATGTCAGAATAAAATAAAAATGATGTTAGAGTACTGTGAAAACAAGACAAAGGGAAGAAATAGCTAATTAAATAATTCTAAAGAATATTTTGAGGACAGGCTGAGAAAACAAAGTATGATAACACAAAGTGCAAAGAACTGAAGTCAGAGAATGAAAAGGGAAGAATTTGATTGGCATTTATCAAGCTAAAAGAACTAAAAAACAAATTCAAGCCTCAAGTTGCAATACTGAGAGATGCCATGGGCAAACTTGAATGATCCAGGAAGATCAAAAGCAGATGGGAGGAATACACAGAGTCATCATATCATAAAGAAACAGTCAACACTGAAAAATATCAGGAAGCACCATATGAACAAGAGTCAATGATAATAATGGAAGAACAGAAGTTCAATCTGCATTGGAGACACTCACCAGAAAAACAAGGCACCAGAAATAGATGGGATGTCCGTTGACACAATTCAACTCACAACTATAACTCTGGAGGTGCTTACCAGTCAAAGCAGAAAATCTGGAGGACAGTTGCCTGGCTGACTGACTAGAAGAGACCCATATTTGTTGCTATTACCAAGAAAGACAATCCAAAAGTATGTGGAAATTATTGAACACTATCATTAATATCACATGTAAGTAAAATATTGCTGAAAATCTTCCAAAAGCAGCTAAAATAATATCTTGGCAGAAAACTGTCAGTAGTTCAACAGAGGTTTAGAAGAGGCTGTGGCCTCAAAGATGTCATTGCTGATGTTGGATGGTTCTTGGCTGAGTGCAGAGCACGCCAAAAGAAAGTCTATCTATGCTATTATTTAACTGTGTAGATCAAATCAAACTGTGAATAACGTTGAGAAGAATGGGAATCTCAAAACACTTGATGGTACTCATGAAATCTATACCTAGACCCATAAACTACTGTCTAAATGGAACAAGGAAACACTATATGGTTTAAAATCAAGGCAGTCATGCATCAGGGTTGTATACTTTCTCCATACCTATTCAATCTACACTGGGCAAATAATTAGTGAGGCTGGACTCTGAAAAAGAATGTAGCATCAGGATTGGAGGAAGTGTCATAAAAAACTTGGCTTACTGAAAATAAGGAGGACCTTAAACACATGCTACAGAAGATCAAAGATTACAGCTAACAATATGTATTACATCTCAACATAAGACAGTAACTTTCTGAACATGGGACCAATATGCAACATCATGACAGATGGAGAAAGAATTGAAACTTGCAATGATTCAATCTTTTTTAGATCAACAATCAACAAGCAGTCAGGAAATCAGGAGACATAATGCTTTGGGCAAATCCACTGTAAGGAAATTGTCTTAAAAAAATACTGAAGAGCAATGATGTCATTCTGAACACCAAAGTGTATCTGAATCAGGCCATGGGTTTTTTAAGGAGGCAAGGTTGATGAGGCTTTGCCTGCATATTTTGGACATGTTGTTATAAAAGACTTCCTTGGGGGGAAAAATATGAAGCTTGAAAAAGTGGAGGGTTGATGGGAGAGAGGAAGACCTTGAAGAGGTGGATTTACACAGTGATTGCAACAAATGGGCTCAAATGTATGGGAGAGGATGAGGGTGGCACAACAGAAGACAAGTTTCATGTCTGTTGTTCATAGGGTTGCTATGAGTCATACTCAACTCAATTGCACTTAACCACAACTCTTTGTATTGTATTAGGCTTTAATTAGATCTTTAAAGTAGGAACTTTATCTTTTACAATAATTTTTAGTTCCAATAGTGATTTTTCAATATCTGATTTATGTGAAAATAACCATGATATTGAGAAACAGTAATAACTTAAAACATAGCGGTCCTGTAATAACCACTATTATTCAATGTGTGGTATCAGACATTTTTATATAATTTGACCACATAATGAAAGCAAGTGCTGTAATTAAGCTAGTTTCTTTAAATTCTTTGGAAGTTTTTTTTTGATGAGCAGATAAAATGATATCTCTGCATATTCCTAATTTACAATACTAGGCAATTAGCAATGATTTATACCTCACTCCTGATGACAATTAAACCGAAATATACATGATACTTTGAAATTATTTCTCTAATAAGATTACATTTCATTCCTCATTATCAATTGCTTCCTGACCCTGAAAGAGACGAAGCAGCATCTGAAAATGCATTTTTTTTAAAAAATAAGAAATAGTAAATAGAAACTTTGCATTTAAATTCTTTTATAAAATTTATCAGCATTACAGTCACTTTTAAGGTGGAATGAAGTCATTCACACTACCCATTCTATTTTCTTCCATACCTCAGGCATTTTCTAATGTGGAACTTATTGATTTGCTTGTTGTATTATTTTCAGAATATATTACTGTAACACAGCAACAAAACCTGAACTAACATGACAACAGTTTCTTGATGCCAATACACATTATTGTAAATGAAGTTAGAAGCTCAGATCACCACAATATCTTTAAGGTAACTATATCATTTTAAAATATATTTGAGATGAAACATCTAAAGTAAATATTGGAATTACTGATAAAAGTAAAACACACTGATCTTATTAAGAAAGTGAACAAGGATTCTGAAGAATGCTGCAATGTTTGTTCCATGGCCTTTATGAATCTAAGCTACCTTATATTATTCCAAGCTAATGCAACTTCTACCATAGTTAATGACTCTATGACCAAATGCAAAATACCAGCAATGTCAATCAAGACTAAAAAGTCCATTTGATGATTTGCTTAGTTGACAATGTGATTTATCACTGTGGATGGACTTACTAGTGATCAGTCCCATATCCTTTCGTCCTGGTGAAGCCTACTGATGTGGCCACAACTAATGCTGGTAAACCTGCAAGAAAAGCATCATCACATTTTACATTTGGCTGTAAACATTTTTGCACACGGACCCACAAAAAGCCAGGGCAATCTCCATGTGCCTAAATAAGAATAACTACCTTTGCATGACTCACTTCATAAAGCATATTTCCATTACATGAGTGCTTTCAGTAAGTAAAAAAAAAACCGTGAGAGCGACAGCTGGGTTTTTAACTCAGTGCACTTTTCTGACGTTGCTAGGTTACCACCATGTTTGACATGGCTTAAAAGAAACTAATAACGGAGATTTAGTATATCTTTTAAAGGGTTTTTCTCCCTAGGGGTTTACATGGTTATGAAGGAAAGTAATAGTTTTAAAATCAGAAAGGCAAAAAACTGTTCTCGAATATCACAGAACTGGAACATTTAGTATACACATATTGATCCACATAAAGCTATAATCATAACAGAAAAAAATAAAGCTTATCAGTTAATTCTTCATGATTTACTTGTAATAACAAGTATATAGGAATGGGATTAGGGAGTTCTAAGGGATTGTATTTAGATAGACTGTTCACTCTCTCTTAATAATCCTGAAAGAAGGTCAGACTCATGCCCGTTTCTTTTCATGGATGTTAAGTATAAAAACTCCAAGCAAAGTCCAATCCCTTTTTCAATTACCTTTCTATCAGTTCTAATATAATCAATGCCTTTTAGTTTATGTTTTACACTTACCTCACTCAAAGTCAAGGGGGCTTTTTGTGTGTTAGTGAATAGAGCTCATCTAAAGTATGCTGTTTAAAGTTTTTAAGCTCTGGTTGTTTCTTCCATTCATGTGTGTCTCCTCTCTCTTACTTATTTCTTCCTACCATTTCCTGTCATTCCAGCTAGTATCTTTCCTCTGAGCTTTGTCTAGTGACTATATTTGTTCATGAGTGTCAATGAAAAGACCTACCCGAGAGTATAGGAGGAGGGGGTATTCTACATTTTTAAACAAATGTTACTTGTCAATTTTTTTAAAAAAACTGTATTGTTGTTGTTGTTGTTATGTGCCATCGAGTTGTTTGTGACTCATAGCAACCCTATGTACAAGAGCCCTAAACACCATTCTATTCTGTGCCAATCTCGCTGTCTCAAACCGTATACCAATGAAAGAATTTTTGTTTTACTTTTCAAAGAGAGGAGCGAAGTGGGGGGAGAGGGGTGGGCAGGAAGAAAAATGCAACAGTGAATGAATGGAAATCCAAAATCTCTGCAAATATTCATTAAAATTAATAAAAAAATTGGTACAAATTTACCAGGAATAAATAATTTCTCCCACCATCTGCTTCACAGAAGGATGGGAAATTTTCTTCCTTGCAATATGCTGCATCCCAAAATCCCCTAGAGTCAGCAATGAGTTGGTTGCACCAACCAATTTAATGGCACCCAACAACCACAGCAAGACCATAATTGAAGGGTTCCTCTTCCTCTTTCCATGTAATTTACATTTAAAGGTGGGGGGAGGAAGCTTAGTTCATCACACTTCATGATCTCAACTAAACTATATGCCACTTTTCTGTCTACCTACAGGGTTTCTGGTAGTTAGGAAACATCCGTTTAGCTTTCAGTGACTCTTTTATTGGAGACTAAATGTGACTTACTGTCTCAAGATATTTGATGACAATGTTAAACAATGTGGATGCCAATTATTCTTTATACATCCTCAATAACAGTGTTTATTATATGCACTCTTTATAAGGATCTATGATATTAATTGAGAAAATGCTCTTCTGATTGAATATAAATTTCATTTTAAAAGACCTTTGGCATAGAACCTAGGGAAAGTCAAAGAGCTATGCACTCTCTAATTCTATCTTAAACGCTTTCAACTTTACCCTAGTCAGATAGAATAGATCCTTGATGAAACCTAATGGACAGTGTTCATGAGCCTATTACCTAGGGTGAATTATCCTGGTATTTTATTAAATATACGTACTTGCAATTTTGAAAGTTTTCTCCAACATTTGACTTTCAAATTCATTAGGTTTTCATGTACTATTTATTTTGGTCTAAAATTCCCTAGTTTTTAAAACCCAATGGCAAACATGATGAAATGTTGCTTTCCTCCCCCAATATCATACTTCCTAATAATTACACATTAGAATTGGCCATTTGAAATGTATACAACTTCCAAAAGCCCATTTCCTAGGCAACATGAGAGAAATTTTTCCTAATGATGTCAATTCTGTGTTTTTTTTTTTCTTTGAGGACCCCAGGGCCAGGGGTGAGATTCCATTCATTCTTTCAATGATATTTTCCCTTTCACAAAACCTCTAGTCTTGAATTTTTTTTTCATTCTTGCTGAAAAATTTCCTCAATGGTTTCTTGGTAGGACTGTACATCAAATTAACCCTCATGCTTTAGACTCTATACATTTGAGAATGTTTTGATTAATAGAAAGTACTGTTGGAGAATAATTTGCCTTTCCACCTGTAGAAACTTCAATCTCATTTTGCATTATTTGGATGTGATTAGTCATCAACTAACTCTATAATCATTCATGCTTTGCTCTTCTTCAGTTTCCTAGAACCAATGAATGAATGTTCAGAAATAAACCTTCACTTCCATATGTCAAATCAACCCAAAGAAAATATTCAGGGCATAATCGTTCTCTATTGGTTTACATTACAACTTTCCAATGTTGTTTTAAGAAGACCATAAAAGTGTATATTAATGTACTTACCCCACCCAAGGCACAAAAAGCGTTTCCTTATAAGCCGGGTCCTAATTTTTCCAGTTACAGCCATATATGACTGCCACGCCTCAGTCAAAACCCAACAGAATGAAGCCAGGAAGAAAAAGTGCAAAAATGCAGTGGTAGTTGTACAGATGCTCTGCGAAAACAAAGAAAGATCCACGCTGAATATAGAGGGAACCCTTTGTCCTTGGTAGAATGTTCATCTCCAGCACGTAACCTTTATTTCATCTAGCTGCTTCACCTCTGTAACAAAGTAAGTATACGCAGAAATTTCAGAATTAAAAAAAACAAACACACCAGAATCTTTATGCAGGGCACAGTATCTATGTTACAAAAAAGAAAATTATTATTTCATTTGTGCATTTATTTTTTTTCCCTATGAGGAGAAATCTGATTGCAATTTAACTTTAAGAGAGATTAAACTTACAGATTTACTTGAATTTTTTTCCTTGAGATTTAACTATAGGATTGACCCTTCTTCTGGTTTACACTACAGGCAAGTTGTATAATTATTTCGGTGATATTCTTTATAACCTTCCTTTTTAAGTGAGAATCCTTTATGTTGCTGTTGTTTTCTTCATTGTTAGGTTGTAGCTGGGACTATTTGCTAGCCCAATAGTTTTTTCAAGAGGAAAAAAAAATCCACTATTCCTTTCCTTTCATATAAGTGTAATGTTCAAGGTATCTCAGAAAGTTATACAATGAGGTTTGGTTAAGAGACTTTTGTAAGAATAATAAATTCATTTTAAAGGACTTGATATATTGCTACACTGCAATGTGTACCTTAATCAAATAATTTTGAAAAGCTAATCAAGTCACTGGCAGTCTACAGCTGCAATTTCATAGATCTCTTTTCTTTATGGCATTAAATCGTGGTGAATACAGTCACCATTAGCACTTAGGACTACAAAAGGTCTGTAGCTTCATTTCTGTAAAAGCTACTACTTATTTCACTAATGGGAAAAATTCTTTGTGTAAATATTGTTAGAATCCTCTATAAGCTAGAACCAGTAACAGAAGTAATTTTTTTTGTCACATTCAGAGTGTTGTGTCTAAAAATAGAAAAGCAGTAAAGAGATAGTAGGGCTATATTAGCAAACAAAAAAGCTTAAAAGAAGAAATACAAGCAAAACCAACAAAAACACAGACCTACCCAAACACCTCTGTTACACTCCACTGTTAAAGCAGGGTATCGTTCCAGAATCTTTATTTTGGGGCCCAAATTACTCACATTACTTGTTTATTCTGCTGAAATTTCCAGTGTTTACTTAGCTTCTCAACTCTTCTGATACTGTAAAAATAACTTTATGATGCTTGCATGTTTATCTTACCGATTGTAGTGATAAGCAGTATAGAACCAATCTTCCTTTAAAATCATTTAATATTGAATTAATGCTTTTAAATACAATTTTCAGTATGATATAATCATGAACTGCTTGAACACTTTCTGCACAAATTATGGTTTTAAAGCAACTTCGGGCTATGGTATCCTTCTTCAAGTTACCTTCATTTTTTCTGCAATTAGCAGAGAGCTCTGAGACCTAGTGGTAAGAAACTGCTGCCATCCCAAGAGAAAAGGATTGACAGTCTCTTCCTGCGTGATTTACTGTCTCTGAAAATCCACTGAAGCATCAGCTATGGGTTGGTTTTGACTAAATCACAAACAACAACAGGGAACTCTGGTGGTTTGGGGATAAGGAGCGGCACTGTCGTTCTAAAAGCATGTGGTTTGAATCCACCAACTGCTTCACTGGGTGTGTGCGTGGGGGAATGGGTAATCTCCTGTGTGAGTAAACTGCCTCTGAAATCCTGCTGGAGGGTCCGCTCTGAGTTATTCTGACTTGACAATATACAATGACAACTATGGAATAGTAGTTAAATAATTCAGCTTCTAACTGCAGAGATGATCGTTTGAGTCCACTAGTTACTCTATGGGAGAAAGAGAAGGAAACGTCCTTTCAATAGAAATATATGCTGAGTGAACTAACTCAGTCTCATAAAGACAAATACTGTATACGACCCTTACTGTAGGGGTACTAGGATACAAGGAAGGGAAAGGGATTAATTTTAGGATTACACAATTTGATGGGTGGAGAGAGGGATGGATAAAGGGAAGGGAAAAGATCCAGTGTGAAAAACAATGTATATGAACTTTATGAGCTTTGTATGTAAACCAGTACAGAATACATACATACATACATACATACAGCAAGCACTGATGTCCAACCACAATTGAACGGATTGAGAAATTATGGTACAAGTTACATGATGGAATACTACGCAGTACATAGGGGCAGTGTTTTTGAAAATTACTACCTAACTTGATTGGGACTGGACAGCTTTATGCTAAGTGAACTCACACAGTTCCATAAGGACAAATACTGTATGAGACCATTATTGTAGGAATAGATAAGTAGTAAAATGTATATTAGGATCTAAGGGGGAAGGTTCTGTTGTGCATAGGGTTTTCAGAGGCTTGGGAGGGTGGAGGGACAGCGCAGGAGGGGAAGACCCTCTATGAGGTGGACTGATTCAGTGACTGGGGTAATCGGGATGGGTGTGTCAGAGGCGGTGCGGTTGGCGCAGGATAGAGCAGGGTTTAGGGCTGTTGTGCATAGGGTCGCTATGAGTCGGAAACAACTCGATGGCACATAACAACAACAACAACAACAAGGGGGAAGAGGAAGCAGAGTGGTGAGGATGGGTGGGGGGTAATAATAGAGTCACACAGTTTGATGGGTGGAGGGAGGGGTAGGTAAAGGAAATGGGAAAGAGCTGGTGTATATGAACAATGTATATGAACTTTGTAAGCAAACTAGTATAAAATTTAAAAAAGTTAAAAACCTACTTCTTTTGTCATATATATAGACATATTTTAAATAGCACTGTAAATCCTATAGGGTCACCACTAGTGAGAATCAACTCAGTGGTATCGAGTTTGTTTTATTTAGCTTAATTTAGCCATTACGATATTCCTTTTTCATTGTCCTTTTCCCCAATTAGCTATTTCAAGAAATCTTTTGCATTCTCAGAATTTGGAAGGAATCTGAGAGTATTAGGTATAAAGAGTGTTTATTTTACAAATTTAGGTTTCACTTCAAAACTTGGGAATGTGTTAACAATGTGAGTTAGCTTTGAAGATGAAATTGGGGTTTGGAAAGGTGAATGGAACAAAACTGTATGGCCCACTTGAAGGTGTTAGAGAGTCTCACATTTGGAAGGGATTTGGAGGATCTGGTAGTGTAGTCTGTAGGGACTTGCACTGCAAACCCCAAGGAGGTTCCTGTCTGACATTTTGAGTCTACCTGCAACTCCACAGAAGAAAGAAGCGTTATCTCCTCCAGTGCTATGTCTTTATTGAAAGCATACTGCCTCATCTTTCTCCCATAGAGTGGTTGTGGATTCAAACTACCAGCCTATTATTAACAGCTGATTTTTGAAGGCAAGGATATTGAGGCTCCCTCTCACATATTTTGGGCATGTTGCCAGGAGGGACTGACCATTCCTTAAAGATAGACATCACACATGGAAGAGTGGAGGGTCAGCACAGGAGAAAACGACTGTGGACGACGAGGGTTGAGACAGTAACTAAGATAATGGGTACGTGTGTGTGTGAGTGTGTGTGTGTGTGTGTGTGTGTGTGTGTGTGTGTGTGTGTGTAAATAAGAGACAGTGATATTGGATCAGGATAGGGCTGGATTCAGAGCTAATGTTCACAGGTTCACTGAGTCTCATAACAACAGTACATAACAACATGGCATGCCACCAGACTGTGAAATTACTAAAAAAGACAAAGCAAATGAAAGTAACTTAAAGAAGGATATCAAAACCAAAGTTGTTTCTAATTAAAAGTATAATTTGTGCAAAAATTGTTGACAAATGAAAAATACGAGTCAAAGTATATCAATCACTTCAAAGTCTTAATATCGCTCCAAAATTTCATGCACAAAAAGAGAAAAGAGTGAATTTGGGAGGAAATACTGTATTTAATGATACAATACCAGAAAATTTCTCAAGTTTTTAAGATCCTCTTGACTGTACAGACACACACAAATATCCCTCTCTATCTTAAACTGGAATTTGTGAACATCAAGAATAAACAGAAAAATCTTAAAAGCTGCCAGAGTGAAAAGACAAATTACTTACAAAGAAACAAGTATCAGAGTGAAACTGGACTCCTTGTGAGCAACCCCAGGCACAGGAAGATTGTAGAATAATACCCTGAATGTTCTAAGGGGGGAATAGCTTTGAAAATAGACTTCTACACCAAGCCAAACTATTATTCAAGTGAGAGGCAGAAATAAAGATATTTTTAGAATTGAAAGAAACTTTGAAGTTTGTCTCCTCAAAATCTCTGAAAGAATTGCTAGAAAATGTAAACCAATAAGTTAGAAAAGAATTTTAGAGTATGGATTGAGGAAAAAAAGATGTAACACATATAACTAAAAGTTTATTTTAAATTAAAATTACACAGTTCTTATTTATGAAATTCTTGTGTTTAAAAGGTGAAAAAACAGCTGCAAGGTGACAGAGAGAAACGAAAGTGTATGAAATATCTTTCCCTAGACACATTAGAGCTACTGGTTAACTTTATATGATGGAAAATATGTTTAAATATTTATGCTAACAATGGTAAGGTAATGACAAAAACACGAAAGCAAAATAATAAAAAACATTCAAGAAATGGAACAGCATAATAAGTATTTTCACAAAAGCAATAAAATTGGAAAGCAAAATTAAAATTTTTCATCTCTGGGAAAATTAGTTAAAAAGAAAATATATAAATTATAAACAAGAACTTAATTTTAATGAAGTTAATTTTAAATTAAATTAAAGTTAAATTTAAGTGAACTTAATTTTGATGTTTAATATGGAAACATTTGTGGAATTTAATTAGGATACTATCAAGGATATGTATTGCCTAAAATATGATAAAAAAATAAAATTTAAGTAAATAAATTACTTAAATAAATATGAGGAAATATTAAATAAAAAATATGAACAATATATAATAAACTCTAAGGAAAGAATTAATTGAATTCTGAATTAATCAGAATTACTGATTAATTAGAATTACTGATTAATTATACAATATTAACTCAAAAAGGCAACTAAAACAGCCAATGTTTTGGGAAT